GACTATGGTTTTAGACCTTTTATAGTAGTTTGGAATGGCTCGTTCCAGTTTAAGAACGACCCATTCCAATTTGGGAACAGCCCCTTCCAGATTGGGAACAACCCGTTCCAGTTTGGAATGGGCAGTTCTAGCCTAGGAACAACCCGTTCTAGGCTACTAAATTGGCTTTTGTTGGGCTTTAGGCCTCCTAATATCATGTCCTGTTGTTTCCTTGCTTCGGAGCTCATTTTCTTCACAAAATAGAAGTCTATTTCTCAATTTATTGGCCCAGATGAAATTAGGTGTCTACACTTGATAAAAGTTCTGAATGAGAGATTTCTCCAAGGGAGAGAACTAAGATGATGGAAATCTACTTCCTAAAGATCCCTTTGGAAAAGATAAGTCCAAGAAGGGTGAAGGTTGATAAAGTTGGTTTGAAGAATTGTTGGGCACTTATCCTTATTTTGTAAGGCACCCTACCTTTGGAGGCCTATCCTACTTTAGAAGGCTCCTATAGTTATTATACATTTTTTCTAACTTGCAATTCATTTTAGTAGTGATTATATTAAGATATTTTTGGCCTTGTATTTTGGGTCAAGTAATATAGGTAATTTTGTCCTTATATTATTTTTACTAGAGGGTGGATTTAGTAGATTAGAGGAGGTGTAACTAGCCGAGTCTTGTTAGACTTATTTAGGCTTGGATGACGTAAACTTATTTTGGCCCATTGGTATTGGACGTCCACTTGCTTATGCAAGTGGTTTGGACATCCAAACCAAGCCAAGCTTGTCGTCTAAGTTACAAATTAAGTCACATGGCTTTAATAATGACATCTCAATAACTTGTTAAAAGTAATCATTAGTTTGGTAATTGTAATGATTAGCCTAGTTAGTTAGAGTTAACTTAACTAACCTAGCTTATTCTTAAACTAGGATTAATTTAGCTTGCTTTATAAGTTTCTAGATAATCAACTAGATTTCTAAACATTTAACTAGAGTAAGTACAAAATAGCTAGGTTACATTCAACCATTGTTAGTCTAGTTTGCAACATAAGCCAACAAAACTCTATATATAGTTTTTCCTTGTATATGTACTACAACAAATATGATTTTTAGCGACTAAAATATAGTGATGAAACTAATAATATATTTTTAGTGACTAAATTTTATTTTTCCACTAGTATTGTTTATAATAGTAACAAAAAATAAGTTATCACTACAATTTTAGTATTAGTGACCAAAATATGTTTGTCACAAAAAATTGACACTAATATCTACAAAATTTAATTTTTTATTTTAAAATTGTCACTAATAAATTTTACTAAAACATAAAATATATATTTATGACAAAAAAATGACTTTACCATAGGTATTATAATCCATGTTCAGTGATTATAATATTGAAGTTATCATTTATTTTTATTTATAGACAAATTATTCATTATTCATTTAAATTTTGAAGTATGTGTCTATTAATTCCTACATATTAAATATGAACCTTTGTTTTACATGAGGGTGTTTTATGGGCTTTTATTATCTAGTTTAATTTTATTTATAATAATTATTTATGAATTAAACATTAATATTTTGAAATAAATTATTAATAAATAAAAATAAATATTTTGTTACAATATAAATTATTTATCATAATTCTAAGATATTATTTATATATTTAAAAATATTTATATATACTAATTTAAAATATAATTTATATATTTAAACATAGTATATATATATATATATATATATATATATATAATTTCTTACAAATTTTAATCAACTCCTATATATTAATCATGAACCTTAAAGATTTATATATCTTCAACAAGAGAGATTTTCTGAATTCTTTTAACTTCTTATCTAATTTAATTTTTATTTAATCTAATCATTTATGAATTAAATTTTAATATTTTTAACATAAATTATCAATAAAAATAATATTATGCTATAATATAAATTATTTATCATAAATTTCAAATATAATTTATATATATTGTACATTTTATTTATTATAAAATTTAGTGCATATAATAAATATTTAACATCTGTATTTATTATTTATCTGTGTTTTAATATATAATTTAATATAAATTTTAATCAATTCCTATATATTAAACATGAACCTTTAGAATATTTTTAAAGATTTATATATCTTTGACAAAAGAGATTTTCTGAATTCTTTTAACTTCTTATCTAATTTAATTTTTATTTATTCTAATCATTTATGAATTAAATTTAATATTTTAACATAAATTATCAATAAAAAATAATATTATGCTATAATATAAATTATTTATCATAAATTTCAAATATAATTTATATATATATATATATATATATTACATTTTATTTATTATAAAATTTAGTGCATATAATAAATATTTAACATCTGTATTACACATGGTAAAAAACTAATTATAATTAATCGTATTTAATATTAGAGTATTAATAAACTATTGAAATCAAATTGAAGTAGTTAGTTTGACATGATAAGTATTTGGTGGTGGAAAAAAAATTGAATTAACCCAATTAATAAAATCAGAAAATTAAAACATGCACAAAATTTTGCTTAAATTAGTCTCTTTTCACTTGTATTATCCCCACAACCGTCTAAAAAATAATTTCACCAATTATTGATCTCTATTATTCCTCTTTTATTTTATATTAGTGAGGGTCAAACACTTCGTACCTCTATAATAATTAAATAAGTAACTAATGTTTGATGGTTCAATTGATATTGTAGTTAATTTCTAAGCTTCAAGGTCTTAAGTTCAAGCTTGGGATATATAAATACATTGATTTTTTTTAATCTGTTAATAATAAAAGGGTATAATAGTCTACCAGATGTGGAGATCAAGTAATTACTAAAAGGGATATCCCCTTTATATACCGATGTGTGTGTGTGTGTGTGTATATATATATGAGGATTCAAACAATATCAATGTAACTTTTACTAAGTGTTTATATTTTATTATATTTTAAAATATATATTACATCAATTTTATTTTATAAGAATGAAATATCAAATCATCTTAGATTAATATAAAATTTTGTATATATGATCTAAGAGTAAAAAACTTTCAATCTAATAGTTAAATTTATAAAATTCACATTTAATATAAAGTTATTGAGGAGTGTAATACTTAGTAAAAGTTACTCTAGTGTTGTTTGAGTCCTCCTCTCTCTCTCTCTCTCTCTCTCTCTCTTT